TTGCTTTTTGGGAATTTGGTGTTTGTTTTGCATAGCCATTATCAGTATGAAGATTTGGTTGTAAGGCTAGGGGTTGGTTGTAAGAACGCGAGTAGCAGTAGTAGGAGAGTGAATTTTTACTCTTCGAATCTCTCTCAGTGCGTTTTATTTCCTTGAACCTGTAAATTTCATGTTTTTCATGGGGTTCCCATATCGTTCAAAATGATCACAGCCAGCCTTTGAGAGGATTTTATTTTTTCTCTTTAATTGCTTTTTGGGAATTTGGTGTTTGTTTTGCATAGCCATTATCAGTATGAAGATTTGGAAAAGAAAAGAAAGGGAAAAAAAGAAAAAGAAAAAGGAAAGGGGAGAGAAAGATGCATTGGGTTTTGAGCAGGTGAAAGAATAGTTGGCCTATGCTTGTTTAGGTCCCTTGAAGAATAATCCAACCTCAAAATGAAAGAAAAAAACAAACAAAGATCGTTTCATAATCAAAGTTTGGTACGTTACCTTACTGTTTTTACTTTTCTTGCATACGTGTGAGAGAGAAAGAAAGAGAATTCACTTTTGCCTCCAATTTACAGGAAAAGGAAAGAAAGGAAAATAAAAATTCTTTTTTCTATATGGCGGTTTGTTTTTAAGGAAACATTTGCTCTCACAGTATTTCTTGTAGAAGGCATATGATTAATTTTATATATAAATTTTTTAGTGCACATGTTCTTGATAACTCAACTAAAAAAGTCAGCAAGAATACAAGCAAAGATAATCCAGTGGGTGGGGTAGCATGTGGAGTTTGTCTAAACTAGACCCATTTTTCTCCATAATTGGATTAGTAGATTGATTAAAAAGATGTCCCTTTCAACAGTGGAAAGATGAATTGGAAAGCAGAGTAAAAAACGGTGCACCAAACATGGTCTGAAAATAATTTAAACATGGTCATGGTCTTAAATAATTTGGTAGGTGTGCTAGCTAGCTACCTGGATCTGCTTTTTTTTATTTTTATTATTTCTAATCTTTGGTTTTAATTTTTTTAAAATTAAGTTTTTTATTTTTCGTATTTTTTTTATTTTTTAATGAATATTTTTAAAATTTTAAACAATTTTTTAATTTTTTAGAGGGTAAATTACATTGACACTCCCTGATGCTTATGTTTATTATAGTTCCCTCCTCACCTTTTGAAAATTACATCTCTCTCCCTAAGATTTGCTACCTGGATCTGCTTTTTTTTTATTTTTATTATTTCTAATCTTTGGTTTTAATTTTTTTAAAATTAAGTTTTTTATTTTTCGTATTTTTTTTTATTTTTAATGAATATTTTTAAAATTTTAAACAATTTTTTAATTTTTTAGAGGGTAAATTACATTGACACTCCCTGATGCTTATGTTTATTATAGTTCCCTCCTCACCTTTTGAAAATTACATCTCTCTCCCTAAGATTTAAAGTTTCATTATAGATTGTCTTCTGAGATTTAAAGTTTCATAACAGTTCGCCCTCTCACCGTAATGATCATCATACATAAAATTAAATTAACAGGGGGTTAGTGTAATTTTTCAAATGTGAGGGGAAAAATTGTAATAAATATAAATCTCATGGGGTGTCAGTGTAATTTACTATTTTTTAGATGCACCTCACTTAGATGTATCTAAATGAAAAAATATTTGTGAAAAAATATTTTAAAAAATTAATAAAAACACAAAAATACAAAAAATATATTGAATTTTTTTTTTGTATTTTTGGTATTTAGTGATTTTTTTAAAAAAAAAAATTCACAAATATTTTTTTTTAAGTGTATTTATGTGTGTCTAAAAATTAAAAAAATTGCTTAAAATATTTTTAAAAAATAATTGAAAACAAAAAAAATAGGAAAAATAAAAAAGTAGAATTTTTTGAGAAGTATTTTATGAAAATCAAAACTAAATAAACTGAATATTTTTTATTTAACAAAAAAAAAAAGAGTTATGTGTTTGGCTTGGTTTTGAGAGATAAATTTTCAAAAAAAAATTGGGAAAAGAGTTTAGAAATATTTTTGGTTTGTTTGGTTGTATATTTGGAAAATAGTTTTATAGTATGGGAGTTTGGGATGATATTATATTTTGTTATAATTGAATAGTTGTGTGTGAGAGAAAAAATGATTAAAAATGAGAGATTAGAGAGAAAAAATGATTGATTTATATGTAAGAGAGAGTGAATGATTTAAATTTTTTTTTTCTAAAATTACTAAACCAAACAAAATTTTAAATTTTTTTTAAAAAATTATTTTTCTCAAAAACAAACCAAACATGCCATGATCTCACTTGATTTTTTTTTTTTTTTTTTTTTTTTTTTGGGTACATCGGAAATGAATCAGGCCATGATCTCTCATTCATTTATAAGATATATGTTCTCATTTACGCACGTTGCTCTAGTTTAGTTTTCGCAATGTTACCGAGTTCTCTAGTTTTCAAATTTTCAAAATTTAGAGCCACTGTAGTTGTTCTCAATTCCCAGCAGTTAGTTATATATATTTATGCATTAAATTAATAAAACATAATAATTTACAAAAATATGAGAATTATATTTAATATTATAAAAATAAAGGTCTAACAAGTCATGATTATACAATAAATCTAATATTAATATTATTCACTTTTACAAAATTAAATTTATAGAGCAAGTTACTGCTATGTCCAAAAATGTAACGGGTGTGTTTGGTTTGTGTTTGTAGAGTAATTTTTAAGATAAAAAATACGAAAATTTGTTTTGTTTGTCTTTTTTTAAAAATAATTTTGGGGAGAAAGTTTTAAAAAAAGTGATTGATTTGATGTGTATAAGAGAGAGAGAGAGTGATTTTGGAAATTAAGTAACCAAACAAAATTTTGAGATTTTTTTTGAAAAAACTTATTTGTAGAAATTTTTTTCTAAAATTTTTTCTGAAAAACAAACCAAACAAGGCCAACAACTTTGTGAGACAACGATAATCATATGTTTCAATTACATTTATTTTAAAAAATTGTCGATACTTATAATTTCAAGAATTTTTACCGTCGCAAAAAGTCAATTTTTTTGTAGTGAAAATTTTGAGATTTTTTTTAAAAAAACTTATTTGTAGAAATTTTTTTCTAAAATTTTTTCTGAAAAACAAACCAAACAAGGCCAACAACTTTGTGAGACAACGATAATCATATGTTTCAATTACATTTATTTTAAAAAATTGTCGATACTTATAATTTCAAGAATAACTATCATTTTTAATACAAATATGATTTAAATATGTAATTATTGATATCCGATAATCTTTATTTTTTATATAAATATTATATTTAACGAGCCTTATAAAATAAAACACTTTAAATCACCGAATTGACACTAAAATGGGCTCGCCAAGCCGAATACTATCTCAAATTGAGAAAAGAAACTGTGTTTGGCAAGACAAGTTTGGGCTAAATTAGCCACAAACGTCCAAAAGAGGCTAAAGTAGCCACAAACATCCAAAAAGAAGGAGGGCGAAAATCAGAGACTACCGTCAACGAAGAAGAACAGTAAGTGACGCTGTCCATAGCCCAAGCCCACCGGATTGCACATCGACGGCGATACTGTAACCATCGCCTCGTCGGCACTACCAATCCTCAAGTACACAGTTTTTTTTTTTTTGTGTTTTCGTTTTCGGTTGTTTTTATCTCCTTCAACCTCGATCTGCTGTGTTTGAGTACAAACGGAAATTTCGGACTGTGGATGTTATTTTTTTGTTTGGCATCTGAGATTACCGAACTGTATTGTTTAGATCTTACAAAAAAAAACTGGTTCAACACGTGTTTTGTTTATTTATACTAAAATTGATCTCCGAAATTACCCTCCATCCATGATCTATTCCATTTATTGGGTCAACCTATTTCATTCTTCACTCCTGTATATGTCGATTTATGGGAAATGTTGTCATTCTTTATTTTGAAACCATTCGGATTTGTCCTGTTTATGGACTGAAAATTTAGATCTTCTCTTTGATTTATGGGAAATGTTATCATTTTTTAGTCATGAATTTTTTTTTTTTTCAAATTGAATTTCATGATTTTGTTTATGGTCTGTTCCATTTCTTTTTTTCGGATTTTTCAGATTTATGGAAAATGTTATCATTAAATTCAGAAATTACCATTCGCGACGTAATTTATAAATAAATGAAACACATAAATAAAAAAAAAGTTATTGTATACCAATAAAAATAAAGAACAAGAACTAATTAATGTAAAAAAAAAAAAGACAAAAACATAAATTTAAAAAAAAATTCGAAAAATTTAAGCACAATACGCCAAATCCAAACCCAAAATTAAAAAAAAAATTAAAAAATTTAAGCAAAATTCGCCAGATCGAAACCCAACATAAAAAATAAAAAATAAAAAATAAAAATTAAGCAAAAAATGCCATATCCATACCGAAAAAAAAAAAATTTAAGCAAAATACGCCAAATATGCCAAAATAAAAAAAACCCAACATGAAAAAAAAAACCCCAAAATATGCCAAATCCAAACCGGGGAAAAAAAAATTAAGCAAAATATGCCAAATCCAAACCCAAAATAAAAAATTAAAAAAGAAAGGCAAAAAGGGCAATTTGGTAATTTGACAGGAAGACACCCCACCAAAAAGCTAAAAAATCAAAAAAGCCAAAAAGCCCTTCCCAAACTAAGCTTTTTAACCCCAGGTTAAAATAGTCAAAAAAATCAAAAAGCCAATCCACTTTCTAAACGGAGGCTTAAAAAAATTCAAATTTCAAATAAAATTATGTCAAATATATAAAATTCAACTGATTTTTTTTTTTAAATTTTACGACAAGTCAATATAATTTATCATTAAAATTGTTACTCTAATCATTATGAATATAGTGATCAATCAATGTCCAAGGTATAATGTTAACAAAATAAAAAAATAAAAGGTACAAATTGAGCTTTTACTTCGATTTGTATAGTCTAATTAATTAATCAAGTTTATTTACTGTAATTATTATCTAATTTTAATTTAATTTATTTTTGTAAACCCCGAGCTATCAATTTTTAGCTCTTTCTTTGCCTGTTCCGCCAAGACAACACGCTTTGCGAAGAGATCGCTCGCGTATGCCCATTTCTTCGAGTTCCGCCATTGCTTCAATCATGATCTCTTCTTCCTTCTTCAATCTCGCAATCCATTCTCTCCCTTGGATCTAAACCAATCATTTTCTTTCGATTTCTTGTTTGTTACCAAATCAAAGCCCTAAATTTCGCTTGATTTGTTGTTGATCTGATCTGATCTGAGCTGAAAAATCGTATACAGTGTTAATGGCTTCAGCGAAGTCGTCTCGGTCAAGGGTACTGAATAACACTCCAGCGAAGAGCAACAACCCTAAGGACTCGGGCAATAAGCTCGAGGAAAATCTCAGCGTCTTCAAGTCCGATAATTTCGATGCCGATGGCTTTGTACAGTCCAAGTGTAATTCCTTGAACGAGAAGGTCTGATATCCAATCCTTTCTTGCCGTGGAATTCTGAAAAAAATTTACTAAAATTTATTGGGTATTTGATTTTCTTTTAATTATTGATAGAAATTGGTTTGGATTGAATAATTGAAAACTATTGTTTGGGAATTTGAATTGAATTCTTTTTATTGGGAATAAAAAAAAATGTCTTGGGCATTTTATTTTCTTTTGATTATTGGTAGAAAATTGGTTTAGATTGAATAATTGGAACTTTTGTTTGGGAATTTAAATTGATTGAATGCTAAAATTGTGAATTCTTTTGATTGGATATTTAATTTAAATTAAATTAAATTAAATTTTTTTAACAACAAAAGAGATGAGGTTCAAGAGAGAGTACAAAAAGAACATTCAGTAGTGATAGTGAGGACACAGGGTTGAACACTGGATATATGCGACCACCCACTAGTCTTAAATATGGGGTGGAATAAGGGCTTGAACATAAGGCCTTTGGTTGTTTACGTGGGGACTTACCATTCGAGATAGCCCTCACGGGTAAGGAGGCCCCCTTAAGCCAATATTTACAAAAATGAGATGTTCAAAATATATGCATTCAGAATTAAGAGAGGCTGATGCAAATCTAGCTAACATAGCAGAATTTAGCCTCTCGGAATACAAAACAAAACTGTAGTCTGGTGAATTCAAGTGCTAGTTGAAAGCAATTCATTTATTGTCCCAAAAGGAAACGTTTGAAATGAGATTTTCACGCTGGTTAACAAGAGAATGATGTATATGTCACCAGCCCGATGAGGAAGATTCGTAACAAGGAAAATTGAGGAGGTGAATTTAAGGAAGATATTTTGCTTGAAAAACTTGATCCCATAAAGAATTTTGATAAGATGCCAAGTTGGTTTCAGAAAAAGGCTTGTTAAGTATGTTAACATTTAGGGAATGCTACATTGTGCACTTGCATATTGCAAGAAAAGTTATGATTTTTGTGATGAAAGTTACAATTTTTGTGAGTAAAGTTTTGAATGGTGAAATCGTGATGTGCACCTAAAAGTTATCTATAACTAAAATTATACAATTAAAGTAATACTTTTTGTAATGAAAGTTATACTTTTTGTGAGAAGCAAAAAGTTATATTTTTGTGAAGCAAAAAACTTGTACATCTTGTGACAAAAGTTATACATTTTGTGATAAAAGATATGCTTTTTGCATAAGATGCATACCATATGCACCCCAAAAAGGGTGCACATAATAGTCCTTTCCTAAGGTTTAAAGTACCCAACCTGCCAAATTTACGAGGTTGACAAATGGTGTTCCTGCTTATGAGAGGGGTTTTGTGTGATGGGGAGCAACTATTCTATAGAATATTCAGACAACAGGATTCAAATTTGTTGATGGTGATTTTAGGGATGGGAAAGAAGGACATAGTGTAAGTGGGAAGGGAACTAGGGCATGTTTGATCAATATGGATTGGCCAACATAGGAAAGAAATTTATCAACAAAATAAGTGGAAGACCGAAATAAGTGGAAGACCGAAATAAGTAGAAGACCTAAATATTTATTGTTATGTGAAGCCAAGCAAAAGCCAATGGATGAACCTTTCACGAACCAGGATATTAGGAAAGAAAAAAGCAACAGATTTAGAATAATTAATGGATTGTCCTGCTGTGTGGGTGAAAGTTTGTAAAACATTTTGTGTAGAAATTACATTAGAATTGGGGGTTTTTAACAAATAGAAACCAATCACGGGGAAAACATAGTATTGGGGATAGAGGGACCATTTCTTGAAGCTTTTAATTTTGAATGTATAATTTGTTTCGGTTGAGAGGCATAAGCTAAGGCTCTGGCGAAGAGGTATGTGGACTCCTTATCTAAGGCCACATTGGGGATGGATCTTGTGAGATAAGTGACTGCTGAACTTACTCACATAGTTGAATGCTTAGTTTGATTGAGTTCTCAAAAAATATTTAAAATTTATAATAATATTTGAAATTTATCTTATTGATTGACAAAAAGGCCCCTAGATGGAACTCTGAAATTTTTGAACAAATAAAAGCATTAATTCATTACAATTCAGTAGAATATCTTTATGCTAATTATAGCATATGCCAAAATCAATAGTTCTTAGGTATCATTGACCAAATCAGGAATGCATTCCTCATCTATTAAATAAACAATATGATAAAAAAGATATAGCATGATTCATTCAAATTGCTTACAAATCAAGAAATTGTCTCACCCACAGGATTCAATCAAACTACTCACAAACTACAAATGTCCAACTTGGATCAATTGACCAAGGGGTTTAGACCCACTGTGAAGCAGTATGCCCAAATTGTATGCTTTTTAAAGGATGAATGCAAGCAAGCACACATTCATTTGTATGCGCACGTGTGAATCCCCAATTTTATGTATGAGGCCATACTTGATGTTGAAAATGTACATCATTTCCAATAAGAAGCAACTAAATTGAATGTTGGACTTAAAAACCCAAGTGGCAGTGCACTTTTTTAATTATTAAAATTCACGTGAAAAATTCTGGGCAGGAAAAGATTTGTTTATTACATTTTCTTCCCATGTTTTAAGAGTGAAACATATAAAACAGCATGTCCTTTATAATAATTGCAGTTTCCATTTAGAAGATAAAAATATTTTTTACAAACACATTTGAGCAGTTAATAAAACAGGTCTCCCTTATATCTAGTCAAGAATTTTAGCCGATATTTGGATAACAATTGCTTTTGATGTACCATTTTACAAGAGAATTGTGCCTTTGAAGGTGGCTTCGTCCAATGTGTCGACAGAAGTGGCTATTAGAGGGTATTCTCTTTTGCCAAGCCATTTATTATCTACATATAAGTACTTTTCCTCTGGAGTTCAGTTGCTCATGCAATCAAATGTTGCATTGGCCACTTTTTCTTATCAACTGAAGCATCTACAAGTCAAGATATTGAGCTGTTTACTATGATCTTGAGTTCTGGTTGTGTATTTGCTTTCGAATTTTGATTCGACTGCTATTTTTCTTCTAGTCTGAAAACTTCACCGTGTAATTGAATTATATCTACGGATAGAAGTGTGAATGCAAGGGATACAATTTACTATGTCAATCAATACTTTGTGTTGACTATTGAGAGACTCTTTAAGTTACGAAGAAATGTATTTATGTATAGTGTGGTATCTACCAACTTACCATATTGGTATGATTTATTAATTACTATATTAACACCGGCATTGGCTTACAGGAAATAAGGCAATTATGCTCGTATCTTCTGGATTTGAAGAAAGTTTCAGCTGAGGAAATGCGTAAAAGTGTCTATGCTAACTACACAGCCTTCATACGGTCAGTCCTTTTGCAACAGTTGCTTCGACAATATATAATTCATCAGTATACCCAAATTATCTACTTTGTGCCTTTTCATGACATCATACCAACGCATATTAAGTTATTGACACATTGGATTAAATTTCGGCCACTCATTATAAGGACAACCCTGTGTGTGAATAGCATTTTTTACTCTCTTTCCTGATTAGAAAAAGAATGTTCTGAAATTGCCCAAATGGGGATGCATTTTTTTTTGGACTGTATTCCGCTTTAAATAGATGGCAATAAAAGTTTATCCACCCTTTTTGTTGAGGCATTTTGGTCTATTTTCTTGCTCTGAATTTTCCTACTATACCTGTGCTTTTCCTTTTGAAAGATGATCTCATTATATTGATATTGATTGGTTATCGAATGCAGCTTGTATTTTAAATTAATTTTTTTTTCAACAGCACATCAAAAGAGATCTCAGATTTAGAGGGGGAGCTTTCATCAATCAAAAACCTGCTATCTACGCAGGCAACTTTAATTCATGGTCTAGCTGAGGGAGTTCACATTGATTCATTAGCTATCACTGTTCCTGATGGTTCTACTGCAAATGGATTATCTAACTATGAGGACAAGGAACCTTCAGACCTTGAGAAACAGTTAAAAGAGTTCCCTGATGTACTTGATGTTTTGTTAGCCGAGAGGAGGGTGGATGAAGCTTTGGAAACCCTTGATGAAGGAGAACGCGTAGTTTCTGAAGCAAAAGAAAAGAAAACATTAAGTCCAGCTGTACTTTTGTCACTGCAGACTGCTATTACTGAACGTAGGCAAAAATTAGCTGATCAGCTTGCTGAAGCGGCTTGCCAACCTTCTACACGTGGCAGTGAGCTTCGTGCAGCTATTTCAGCTCTTAAAAAGCTGGGAGATGGCCCTCGTGCTCATAGTTTGCTGCTCAATGCACATTACCAAAGATATCAGTATAACATGCAAAGCCTTCATCCATCAAGCACCTCATATGGAGGAGCATATACTGCTGCCCTCTCACAGCTAGTGTTCTCTGCTATTGCTCAAGCTGCCAGTGATTCTTTGGCTATCTTTGGTAAGGAGACAGCTTACACTTCTGAGCTTGTGATGTGGGCTACAAAGCAAACAGACGCTTATGCACTCCTGGTTAAAAGACATGCATTAGCTTCATCTGCTGCTGCTGGAGGTTTAAGGGCTGCAGCAGAGTGTGTGCAAATAGCTTTAGGTCATTGTTCCTTGTTGGAAGCTCGTGGCTTGGCTCTTTGTCCTGTGCTGTTGAGACTCTTTAGACCTAGCGTTGAACAAGCACTAGAAGCTAATTTAAAACGTATTGAAGATAGTACTGCTGCCCTGGCCGCTGCTGATGATTGGGAACTTACATACCCTCCAACTGCTATGCGGCAATCTAGCAGATCTTCTAGTGCATCGCTTGGTGCTACAACAGCATATCAGCATAAACTTTCTAGTAGTGCTCATCGGTTCAATCTAATGGTTCAGGTGAACAATTTATTTTTTCACTTAATTTGCAAATCCATTAAAGGGAAAGGCGTCCCCCCACCCAATGAAAAAATATTGAGTGTAAAGGTGACACCATCCTACGTGGTCACTGGCCAGTAAAAAGTCACAAATGGATTAGATGGATGGATCTTGTCTCCCATTAACCCAAAGACGTTGTGGTCCCTACCGCAAAGTGAGATTGCTCATTGGATGGTGATACTGCATCATGGTATCACCGTTACATTACATCCAATATTTACTCCCACCCCACCCCCAAAAGGGTGAGCATGCCATATGGAATTCCACTTTCCACCATTTGATCTAGAAAAATAAATATAAGCCGTTTATCATATCCACTTTGGTTCATAACCACCACCATTTGTATCAAACCATGACCACTTTGGGTTATAACCAAAACCACCACTACACCTCATGACCAACATCAATTTTGCTTTGTAACCAAACACCGCCTAGCCTCATAACCAAGGCAGGCCTAATTTTGACCACCACTTCCAGCCATAATCAATACCACTTTGATTCATAACAAAAGACTACTTTGAGGCATAACCAAGGCAATTAGTACACACCTTTTAAGGGTTGTGTACTTAGAATTGGCTTCCACTAAAATGTGAAATATTCGTCTCCTTTTCTGCTCTTAACACTAGAACATACACAAATGTGTGCTGGCACAGCATATCATGTGGACCATTTTTTCCACCTATTAATTTCTTAGTTGTGCTTTGTTCCTTTTTTTTTTTTTTTCCCTCCCCTTTGCTTCTCGTGCGTCATGCATCATTTAGTTAAAACTTGTTTAGCTAAACAACTAGTTTTCCAAGCAGCACAGCCACTTCTAGAAAGAAAGATCCATCCATCTATTCTATCTGATTTAGATTTTGATATCTAAAAAAGAATGTTTGAGGATAGAAATTATGAGATGGGGGCGTTGACTGAAGAGGTAGAGAAGAAGTAGAAGATGTAGGCATTCTTCTGCCACTGACTGGCCTACTGTGGTTCTTAGTGCCAGCCAATATCTCTTTCCAATTTTCTCTACCTCACCGTTTGGGTGGAATTCATTCTCAGCTGTTCTTGTCACTTCAGCATGCTGTTTAATTGTTTCAAATGGAAACTTGATAGTTGTAGATTGTGTTTCTTATTTGCTCATTCACTTACTGACCTAGATTTGTTAATACCTTGTGCTCGCCCCCTATATTGGCATGCTAGAGAACAATTGAGCAATTACATGATTATTGTTTATAGTTTTTTCCCGCCTATTGAGACCTAGTTGCTTATTCATGTGCTTTGAGTGTTTTTGATAGTTGATATGCTATCCTTCTGTGATTATCTTGAGTTTGTTGATTTTGAGAGCTGGTGATAGGTAATTGAAATTCAATGGAATCTTATAGAGTAATGCTAGAGGCACACAATTTAAACCCCTAAATTCATCCACAATGATGTGGCAAGGTAGGGGGTACTGTATAATTGAGTGTGTAACAAATCAAAAGTTGACACTTATCATGCCACATCATTGTGGGCCAAATTGGGGAATGCCTTTTGGGGTCTCAAACATTTTGCATCTTTATATGATATACTATTTGTGACTGCTGGTGATCTATAAATATGATTCATTTTCCTGATATCTTAACTGCTTTTATAGGATTTCTTTGAGGATGTGGGACCATTGCTAAGTATGCAATTGGGAGGTAAAACATTGGAAGGTTTGTTCCAGGTATTTAATTCATATGTTAACATGCTCATAAAAGCATTACCTGGCTCCATGGAAGAAGAAGAAAACTATGAAGGTTCTGGAAACAAAATTGTTCGAATGGCTGAAACAGAAGCCCAACAAATTGCATTGTTTGCAAATGCATCCTTATTAGCAGATGAACTTCTGCCACGTGCAGCCATGAAGCTCGCCCCATTGAATCAGGCAAATCACAAAGATGATCCTCGTAGAAGACCTGCAGATAGGCAAAACCGTCATCCTGAGCAAAGAGAATGGAAGAGGCGTCTTGTGAGCTCGGTTGATAGACTGAAGGATAGCTTTTGTAGACAACATGCTCTAGATCTTATTTTCACTGAGGATGGTGATAGTCATCTTACTGCAGACATTTACATAAACATGGATAACACTTTGGATGAAATAGAATGGTTTCCTTCCCCAATATTCCAGGTATTTCTAAGTCATGGATACTTTATTTATTGTCTTTTGTCAACATTTTTTAATTATTTTTTTCAATTTTGTTTTGGTTCATATACTATGTCTAGTTTGCACAAGTTCCTGTTATTTGTGCATTGGATGTTGCATAGGATGTTTCTATGCACTTCTTGTGGTCGCTTTGTTTTGTTGTTTACTAGTCTTTTAATTGTAAGTTCTCACGTTTTATTTATATTTTTGATTTTATTTTATCACTATTCAGGAACTTTATGCAAAACTTCACAGGATGGCTAGTGTAGCAGCAGACATGTTTGTTGGGAGGGAAAGATTCGCTACAATGCTATTGATGAGACTTACAGAAACAGTCATCTTGTGGCTTTCAGAAGACCAAAGTTTTTGGGATGATATTGAGGAGGGATCGAGGCCATTAGGTCCTCTTGGTCTTCAACAGGTTTGTAAATTGATACCCATTTATTCACGTGTTCTATTTTACACGGATTGTAGAACTCATTTTTTTATTTATCTGCTGATCCTTGTGCAGTTCTATTTGGATATGAAGTTTGTTATCTGCTTTGCTTCTCAAGGACGTTACTTATCTCGGAATTTGCACCGAACTGTCAATGAGATCATATCTAAAGCAATGGCAGCTTTTGCTGCAACAGGGATGGATCCAAATAGGTACACAACTGTAGTTTTTCTTTAGAATTTTCTCTTACTATGGCATCCCATGCTTCTGTTTTTATTTTGTACAATTTTTGGCTTGTAAATGTGAGTTCTATTGTTATACATGCTTCCCCAGTGATTGGAGAATTCATGTATTTGGTATGGAATACTAAAAGTTGGCGTTGTCCGTCTGTTTTCTGATGAATGGAATAAAGTAGTGCATCAATAGGTGAATGAGATTTAATTATGGATCTTGAACTTAGTTGGAGAACCACATCCATTATGGAGACAAATACTTTTATAAGTGCCCATGCTATGTGGGGGTGGGGCTGGGTGGTGGGTGGGGTTGTGTTGGCAACTCTACTAGTAATAGTATAGTTTGGAAGATTTGGTTGTTATATGGATATGTATGGATCTGGTATGAGCTTTTCTGAGGCTAATATTAAATGTTGTTGGCACCATGCAGTGTACTTCCGGAAGATGACTGGTTTACTGATGTTTCCCAAGATGCAATAGAGAGATTGAGCGGAAAACCTAAAGTTGCCAATGGGGATCGGGATCTTAATAGCCCAACTGCTTCCGTCTCAGCACAATCTATTTCATCTGTCAGATCTCATGGGAGTTCTTAATGCGCATTCGCTTCCCATTTTGTATATTAGACAACAATCAAAATCCTTCATGAATTTGCAACTATTCCTTGTATTCATAACTAGCTCTTTTTTTTTTTTTTTTTTTTGGGGGGGGGAATGAACGACATAGTTGTTGCCTAATTCTCCATTATCTTCACCTATTGTTTCATTTTCTTGTCATTTTAAAACATAACCCTACCATTCTGTAGCTTGGTGTTTGTATCATCATGAGGTTAGAAATTCTTTTCATTTTCCTATTTTGGGAGCATTTGAGTTTGTGTAAATGTTGATTGCGTCTTTTGATCCTGAATCTAAATTTGTTCTATTCTTTGACTACTTAGCATTTGAGTTTGTGTAGTACTTAGCATTTGAGTTTGTGTAAATGTTGTTTGCAGCATTTGATTTTGAATCCAAATTTGTTCCCTTTCTTCCAGCAAACATTGAACCCATTATACATGAATGCATGTCAAATCTATTTCGTGTGGGAAATGCCTTGCTTATTTTTTCCCAATAGACCATATTATGCGTAATATTGGTGGAATGTGTCCCACTACTTGTGTATGTTTAATGTAGTGTTGACAACTAGCCTTGTAGTGTTGAAAACTAGCCTAACACATTAGATCGTAAAAATAAATGATTGTTATAGTGTTACTCTGTTCTTCCTCACCCTTTTCAGACTCAGTGGAGGGGGCCTCGCGGGACTGCCCCTTTTACTTCTTTCCTCTCTTGTATTTATAATACCTATTTAAAGTAGTCTTGGAGCACCATATGGTATTGTTTCCATGGTGTTAATCAATCACCTAGTGAAAAAATTTATGGATGGAATTTGCTGGTTCACTTTTATTTAGTAGTTGAGAGAGAGAATGACTGTGTTGTAGTTTTTTGTTAGCCAAGAGAGAGAGAGAGAGACTACATAATGAAAGGAAACGTAAGCGACAGAGCATGTTAGCCATGAAAAATTAGAATTTAATATTATGGATGATATCAGAAATCAATGGATTTCATGCAAATTAGTCCCCATGAATGTACTACAACCAAGGGCATGAAATGCTCCTACCTACATCCTAGTTTGACCGAGTTGTACAAAGAATGAATTAGGGAGGACACCTTTCTAATAACCAAGGCACATATATCATATCATCTTTCTTCATTTGTTTCTACAATTTCTATGGTCTCATGAATTGGTGTTCCAGGTCCTGTTGTAGAAAACCCTTCATCTTCATAGAAAATCCCTTCTGTTTGATGCAAAATGCTGATTTCTAGGCTTTGTGGCCCATCACTTGGGACGGTGTCTGCAGTTGCTGCAGACACTGTTGTCCTTCCATTTGCAGTGTTTGTTCTTTTGGATGTGTCACTTGATTTGTCTTTTTCCTCATCGAAGTTTTTAGCAATTGCGGCAATCTTTTCCCGGATTGAGTATTCATTAGAGGTTAAGACATTCCTGTTGTCGTATAAAAAGATAGAGAGAAATATGATGAGAGCAGAAAACGAAGACACAGCAGCGATGAGGAAAAGACCCTTGAAACTGTCGAGCGTGAGGCTGTCAGAGACGACTTTGGAACCTTCTTGTTCTGCACAATTTGCTTCTTCCCCAAACCATTGTCGTTGAATTCGTGTCATGTCTTCTCCCTCTGTTACATTTAGGATTGCTCTTGAAACATCAGGTACTAGGGGAGATCCCTTTGGGAATGCCTGTTACATAAAGATCCACAGAGAACATGTTATAGAAAGAACAAGAAATGATGTATGTGGAGTTTTTTTTTACCAAATAGAAGTAGTTTTAATCATATTTTTTCAAATTCAAGCAGTTTTAAACTTATACCTCAAATTCAAGTTGTTTTGTGAAGTTGTGCTTTCAAAACACGACTCATTGAAAACTTGACTTCAACTGACTTACTGTAAGACTTCACTTGATCCACAACACGAGTTGATTGTTTTCGACGGATTTACTGTAAAAAAAAAATTTGAAATCGTGGACTTCAACCCTAAAGTCATGTTTTGTAAACAAAACTTCATGAAACAATTTGAATTTGAGAAATAAGTTCAAAACTGTTCACGTTTGAAAATTCAGTTTTAGAACAACTTGCACTCAATAAAAAACTCGACCTATGTGTCTGTATGAGAGAGAGAGAGAGAGAGAGAGAGAGAGAGACTCACAAATCCGAAGCCTGCAGTCCTGTAGATTGGTCCAACCATAGTGTACTTAGAACAATATTTGGCAAGAAAGGGCCTAATATATGGTAGCTCATCAATTATTACAGCAACTCCTCCATTCTTGCTCCCTTTAGTAAGAGCATCATCATACTCTTCAAAAGTGCTATAGTTCTTGGACTTGGATGGATCAATATTCTTTTTCTTCAAAAGTCCAGCCACAAAGGAACCCGTTTGGTACCCAACATACTCTCCATTCTTTATAAGAGCACTGACATCTGTGAAACTTGGTTGGAGCTTTTGCACTGTCAACATTGATGTCAAGCTAGCTGTATAGCTCGATGTCAGTACTAGCACCACGAACACCCACACGATCACCACAAATCTTGCTAAGTTGCTTATTAGCCTCTCCTCTGCCGAAAAGAAAAGAAAATGAGTTCTAGAGTGAGGAAGATTCACAATTTGACTTTGATCGTTATGGATTGATATTAAGATCGAGTCCTAGATGAGCATACTTAATTTTAGTAGCTGGAACAGTAACAGGAGCATGTCTAATTAACCGATTCTTAATAGTACTATTTGGGGAGTTGATGACTTCTTTCAAAAGGGCTTTTGCTTCCTCAGTGAATGTTTTGGTAGAAGATGGGATTAATTGGAACTGAAAGTTTATTAGTTTGTAAGCACGTCATGTTGGACTGAGTTTAGTCTCTAATTTCTGGTTAAAATTTATAATTTTTGACTAGGGACAGTAAAAAAATGATAATGAGAATATGGATATGGTTCATGTCAAAATTTTTTGAATTGATTTGAACTTCAGAGTGAACATGCCATGGAGATTCTTACTATGAGCAAACACAAGTGTAGAGAAGGAGAACCAGAATATCATTCCAACTTGCTTGCGAGGAGGGCCTCGGAATTCCTTGTTTATGCGATGCTCAAGAACCCATACCACAAAGCCAGTGAAGACGAAAAATGCCCCAGTTGTTAACCAAAGATCCAATGTTAAGGGTTTCATGAAAATCCAAGCATTCTTCCTCTCAGCCTCAATTCGAACGATCATTGACACACCGGACTCTGTGTATGGCAACGTAAAATCAACATACTTGGATCTGTCTGATAGAATAGTCAAGTCGCCCACAACAGCATCGAAATTCTGGAGACAAACATAGAAAACTCTAGTTAAAACTTCTTCGACAAAAGAGAAAAGAAAAACATACCAGATTCCAAAATTTTATTTTACCTCAAGAACGATCTGATGAACAAGATCATCATAACTTCCCGTACTCTCTCCATCAGGAGTTTTGAATGGAAAATACTCATATGGGACAGCATATTGCAATGAGTTCATGACTTTCTCGAACACATCTATGCAAAAACCAGTGGCAACAACAGCATTAGTTTCAGCATCCGTTTCCACCTTAATAAATTCAACAAAACCACCCTTCACAGGAACTCCGACCCTCAATTTCCTTTCCCCTGTCGGAATTTCCCACCCTTTTGGCGCAACATTTGATTCACCGGGCCATATGATGGCTCCAAATTCCTTCGATATACCATGTTCACTTGTCCAGAACCCAATTACCCTCCCTTCTTTTCCAATCACATTGACAATTTGAAATGCTGATGATTGTAATTGTCCATCGACTAGATTGAAGTCGCCGCTCAAGCCTTTGAATCTGATGTTTCGGATTGATTGAAGCAGCCTCGGTCCCATTTCTGATGTTCCAATTGCAGCCAAGTCTGTCAAGCTCTCTGTATTTACCGGTTTTTTGAATCGTGGTGATTGAGCAATACCGGCTTTCTCTACTGCCATTGCCAATGCCTTGACACTATCGTATGCCCATAGTACAAACACATTTAGCTCAAACCGGTCCATCTCTGGATTCTCTTGAAGAAACTTCTTTCTCCATCTTTTTGTGAAGTTGTCAAGCTCACTTGACTGCGGAACATACGGCTTCAATCCTAGCACCCCTTGCATCGAATCTATAACAGCACGATCCATTGAATCCAAGAGGCTTGTAAGCCCATCAGTGATGATCCAAGCGTATCCCTTGCTCATCATTCCAACTTCTTTCGCTTTCAAAAAAAGGCGCGAAGCGAGGGATGGTAACATATGCACCACGAAAACCCGTGTCTGCATTGTCTTTAGTTTGTAAAGTTCTTGAAGGATATGATCATCTGAAGCTGAAATCGATATAACACTTTGATTCCGGACTTGGGTATTAATTCCTAGCAATGAATTGGTCAAATAAGGAGCTAAACCGCTCCCATAATTGCTATCCTCGGAGATTAACACTATCTCTCTCCAACTGAAGGCCTTAACTATGGCAGTGAGGGCTTCAACTTGAGCAGAGCCATTCTGTGAGACTCGGACGAAGTATGGATTCTCCATCGGAGAGAGAGAAGGGCTTGTTGCTAGAGAAATTATGGGAACTTGAGATTTGTTGCCAATGTCAATCACAAAATCTGCTTGTGTGGAGGTTTCTGGACCTAGGATTGCTTGTACTTGGACATTTTTCAACAAGTCTATAGCTGCAAATACATCCAATAAAACTAATTAGATCCCACTACTTGAATTTTCTTCACAATTAACTTAGGAATAGCATAGCTAAATACAGTCAATGGTGTGATGCTCAGATTCGAGTCTCACTACTGCCTAATGTAGCTTTCCTTCGATGCCATTTTGTGCTATGCATATATGAATTAGCAAATGAGTTTTGACAACGATTGAGAAACATATTATCATGGTAGGAAGAGAGAATCAAAGGGTTACAAATGAGCGGAGCTTTGTGGTGTTCAAGCCAAGCTCAAGTCAAATTGAACTTGAGCTCAACTAGTCAAATATTTGAGAAATTCAATCTCCACTCGAGTCAACTTAATTACCTAAACAAGTTGAACTTGAGCTTAAAAAGAAAAAAAGAAAATATATATATATATATATATATATATATATAAAGAGAAAAAAGAGAAGACTATGAGTAAAAATATAAAATAATGCTCATATTATTAATAAATTTCATTAATCAAGTTTGTAAATTTACACAAATACTAATTATGAATAAAAAAATAGAATCAACTAGTAAGAATATATTTGATCTGTCATTAAAACTAATTATTAATTTATATATAATTATGTTCACAAGCTTATTCAAGCTAAGTTTGAGTCTATTCTAGCTCGGCTCGATTACTAAATTATAAAAATTTAGCTTGAGCTTGAACTTAATGAACTGTCCATGAATAATTTAGTTCGTTTGCATCGTTAAGAAGAAGGGAGAGAATAAGAACGTACCGGCAGAGGCAGCCTCAACGACATCACCCTTGGAATATCTGGTCTGAAGAACAATCCTTGTGGTATAATTGTGAGTGTCATAGAAATCTTCAAGGGCCATGGACATGCAAGTCTGGCTCATCTTTCCAACAGATGTCTCTGTATCAAGAATCAGCCCCACATCAACCTTGATTGCACTATCATTTTGACTTGTCATTGGCACAATGAAAAAGCTCATCAACAACAACCCTACTACTAACACAAGCAATGAACATCTTGATGGGTTCTGCATTCGAACCACTCTTAGTGATATTTAAGATCGAGTCCTATCTGCTGCGTGATGTAACTTTCTATCTCTTATCTGTCCTATCAATTCTAAAATATGTATGCACTTTATTCTGCAATCAAAGATTCAAGAAAGCTAATAGGAAGCCTTAGAAGTGAGAAGGACAATAGCTTATATAAAGAGAGAGAGAGGGGCTTAAATGTTGTTCAAAATGAGTAAGGATCCTGTAGGGTTTTTTTTTCCTAGAGTTTCCTAGAGTGGTGCGTTGTGTGGTTGAGATTTAATGACAAGTCACATCAATTTTTTAGCATTAAATCTCAATCACACAATATATCACTTTAGAAAACTTTAGAAAAAAAACACTCTAGAAGATCCTTGGTAGTTCAAAATTCCATTTATTATCCATTCTATGCCATGCATGTGTTGATAATCAATCATTGCGGTTGAATATGTGGATTTAGTCAGATTGGAAGGCACATCAATGGTGGTGATCATGCCGTGTGGAACACTAGCACCAGTGTATTCTACAATTTCTTTAGATCGAATGGTGCTGATTTGTTTGTTTGATTAGGGCAATGTGTGGTGTACATTAATTTCTATATAAAAACACAATCCTGCCAAGCTTGAATTTCCAATGGTTTGTTTGAATTGAACTTTGACAATCCTGCCAAGCTTGAATTTCCAATGGTTTGTTTGAATTGAACTTTGAACTAGATGGTTGAAATAAATGTATAAAAAAAAAAAAAAAATTACCAATCAGTTCTATTAGTTAAATTTATTTATTTACAAGTTCCGATTTATAAATTTATTATTATAAATTTATTCATAAAAATAAGAAAGTGATAAATTTATCAAGGGATAATGTAAGAGAGATTACGTGTCAATGCAAATCACAAAAGTGCGAACGAATGACAACATAATAAGTTAGGTTAACATAACGGGATGTTTAATGTTAAACATATAAGAGTTTTAAAGATCAAATATAAATTTTGTTGTAAAAAATATTTAGGGACTAATTTCAATTGTCACGAGGAAAGTTACTAAAAGATTGTTTTGAAAAGTCAAAAAATGAGTTTTTAGGGACAATTTTAAAAATGCTGCTAATAAATGCACTTTAGGGACAAAATAACTTGGTCCCAAAAGGGTAGTAATTCACCACTAAATGTCTAATTTTGTCACTAAAAATAAAATAATAATTCTTTTGGCAGCATACACATTTTGCCCATAAAAAGTGATTTTGTTCCTAAATTTTTGTCTTTAAAATCTTAATTTCTTGTAATAATTAATAAATTTCAATTTCAATTTCAATTCTTAGTTATAATTAGGATAGTATACCAGCCAGTCTCCCTTTCTAGCCTTATTACCTATTAGGTCCTGACTTATATTTTTATATACTATTGAGTCTTTAGTTGCTTATAATACTCTCATTGAATTTATTACTCATTAGTTTTTTCAATTTTTATTAACTTCTCTCTCTTGATCATTTTTCCAGAACCCTTCTTTCTCTCTCTCTCTCTCTCCATATCTCTTTCTTTCTCTCTTTCTAAAAAATACCACCACCGTTGCTATGGCCAAGGCCATCCACCCACCACAACCACCACCATTGTCTGTGACTAACCACCACCAACACCTTCGCCGGCCACTACCACCACCATCGTTCACCAACCATCGCCACCATCGCCGATCTATAATTCACTAACTCCGATTCACAGCCACTATTTACCAACTATCTTCGTCATCGTCAATTTACACTATGCCATCGCCGATCTATACTCCGTCCTAGATCTACATTGATCTAGTTGTTTCTACTATGAAAACAACTTCAAACGACTACAAATAACATTGATTCCCAAAATCTCACCTCTCTCTTCCTCCCTCCCTCTCTCTTTATTTCTCTCAAACTAAATCTGTTGCAAACAAGGGTTTAATATATCAGTGATAAATTTATCACTGATATATGTTTTTGAATTTTGTGTTGATTTGTTATGATGATGATGAGATTTTCTTTTTGTAATTTCTTAACAAACAATTAGTGAGAAATTTATCAATGAATATGTTTATCAGTAATAAATTTATCACTGAATATGTCTTCGAATCTTTGTGTTGATTTGTGACGATGATGACGAGATTTTCTTTTTATAATTTTTTAACAAACAGTCAGTGAGAAATTTATGTGAATGTGTCTATCGATGATAAATGTATCACTGAATATGTCTTTGAATTTTTTGTGTTGATTTGTGAAGATGATAACGATATTTTCTTTTTATAATTTTTTAACAAATAGGCAGTGAGAACTTTATCAGTGAATGTGTCTATCAATGATAAATTTAACATTGAATATGTCTTTGAATCTTGTGTTGATTTGTAACAATGATGACAAGATTTTCTTTTTATAATTTTTTAACAAACAGTCAATGACAAATTTATCACTGAATATGTCTTTGAATCTTTTGTTGATTTGTGACGATAATGATTAGATTTTGTAATTTTTAACAAGCAAACAGTGGTTAAATTTATCACTGAATGTGCCAATTATAATTTTTTTTTACTAGATTTGTCTTTGATTCTTTGTGTTAATTTGCGAATGTGAAGAATTATTTTATGGTAATGATTCCTTATCTCTCTCCTTCATTTTCTTCATCTTTATCTTTCTCTTTTTTTCTTGTTGCCACCTTGTTTGAGGAGGTACTAGCGGTATTGACATGGTGGAGATGGAAAATGGCCACACAAATAATATTGTCAAAGTTCGGAGATAGTTGTTGGAGGTTAGTAATGGCTGCAGGCAATCAAAGATGAAGGTCAAATGAGTCATCGGAGGTCAATGATGGTCGCCGGCAATTAGAAGTCGTCTTTGGTGGCCCGTTAAGAGAGAGAGATTCGAACAGTTATGATAGAGAGAGAGAAAGTAGAATGGTTGAGTGATTTCTTTGTTTGGACTAAATGTCAAGGGTAAAATGGGAAGATGTGCTAAATCTTTTTGAGTCAGGGCCTCATAAAAATTAAGTCTGGTCCAAAGGACTGGCACGTAACTCCCCCTTATAATTAATCAATCAACCATCACTTTGCAATGCAAATTGATTTAAGAACTAATTTCTAAATCATCATAACTTAACCTTACCAATATTTCCTAATAGTTTGATTTAATTTGGGAAATTTGGCTATAAACCCCCTTTACCTTCCTTTCATTGTTAAAAGGACTAAGAAAAAAATTATACTTTCTAAACCTCCTCATAATTATAAAATCCTGCATAAAGGACAAAATTTATTATTTAAATATTTTATCAGACTATTATACCATTGGCTACACTTCTCAGATCTACACCATTTTGATGGGGAGAAGTTCAAATCTGCAGATTCGGCGGCGTGAGAGAGAGAGAGAGACGTACGGAGAACATGGAAGGAGAAGCGCAGCCCAAGGGATCGAAGAGATTGCGGGAAAAGATTGGGAGGAGGAGCACCAAGAGGGCGGCGAATGCAACTCTCTAAGTCTGGTTACTATGGATGTCTACCTTCATATCTTACCCTAGATATGTGTGTATATATATATATGTAGATATCAGAAGAAGAAGTGGAGCATCACTAAAAGTTGAGGAATTTTTTGCGCTGTGGAGTGTCTGCCTTCACGTGTTCACAGAAGAAGAACAACTAGCTGTCTGAACATGTGTTACTATGGAGTGTTTTGCTTTGTTCGTGAGAGGTTTGGAGGTTGTTGAACACGTGTTCAATTCTACGAATTTTTTGTTTGTAAGCTCTAAAAGTTGAGAATCACTAATCCAAAATATTGAATTTTAATTCTATTAAATATTGTCTAGGTTTTATCACCATCATGGTTACATTCCTCATTCAAGATTTTGAGAATATATATATATATATATATATTTGTGTGTATGAGTGTTGTTGAACATATGTATTCTTTTCATTGAGATTTGTGATTGTTGATCGAGTTTTAGAAGTTTTTCTTCTCAATTAGATATGTTGATTTGTTGATTAATTTGTTTTGTTTTTGTTTGTTTTGTTTTTGATTTATTTTTGTTGTTTTTTATCAAATTTCATTTGATAGAACCAGAGTAAAATTTTACTCTGGTTCTATTGTTTTGTTTTTTCATTTGACAGAACCAGAGTAAAATTTTACTTTTATACAGAGTAAAATTTTACTTTCATACAAAGTAAAATTTTATGAGGGTAATATGGTAAAAGAAACAAATTTTAAAATATTAAGGGGTTTTGAAAGTACTTATATAATTCTTGTCCTTTTGAAAGACAAATTAGATAGTGAGGGGGCTATCACCAAATCCCTCATTTAATTTCCATCAAGTCCTAGTAAAATCATCACTAAAAATAAATTTTTTAAACATTTTTTGCATATGTCGCTAAAAATTGACAATTAGTGACTTTTTTTTGTCAACGATTTTTATAAATTATCACTAAAACTTACAATTAGTGACATTTTTCTGTGACAATTTTTAAATTGTTATTGAAAGTTAAAAATTAGTGACTTTTTTTATGTCGATTTTTTTAAATTGTTACTAAAAATTAACAAATAATGACGTTTTTTTTAATAATACTTAATGAAAAAATGTCATTAATTACCATAGGACTTATCGGATAATAATTTCACCTATTAAACCTATACATGAGTCTCCCTACTTATGATTCGATATTTGAATTGAACCACTATTTAACTCAATTCGTATAGATTTATTTTTTATTGAAAAACAATGGGTCAAATTTTATCTCATGCCTCAGGCTGGAAAAGTAAAAGTATAGCCACTTGAGTTATGCTACAGTATTTGTTTCCATGGATAAGACCTATAAAGTGAGAAGAGAATATAATACATGGGGGGTTTAATTTTTGCAAAGACTTTTCTGGGTAATGACTCTTCATGATAGTACAATCCAATTGCATTTATAGTCTTGAATTGGGTATTTTCTACCAGTGAGAACGCAAAGATATATATATATATATATATGTGAAACGCGGCATTTTGATTTTGACCAGGTCCACCACTCCACCCCCAGTGTTGAGGGTCAGCATCCTGCTGCCTTGACTTTTTCAAAATTTCAAATACAACTTATATAGTCATATTTTCTCTGTCTTTTCATTTATGAAATTATAATGACCGTCAAATTATACAAATATAAATTAAAACATTATTGCTCTCTCATAACGAAAAGATGTTGCTGGACTATTTACTTG